ATAAATGTATAACTATTTAATATTTAAATAGAGATATGCATAAAAAAGGCACAAGATGTGCATTATAATATAATTTAAAATAGCAAAACGCTGATAGTTTAAATATGCCACTAGAAGCTGGTCGTGGTGGTGCACACCTGTAATCCCAGGGCTTGGGAGGCTGAGGTAAGAGGATCGCTATGAGTTCGAGGGCAGCCTGGGCTACGTAGCCAGAGCTATCTCAACAGAACAAAACAAAACAGAACAAAACAAAACAAAACAAAACAAAACAAAACAAAACAGTGTCTAGAAAGAACAGAGGTCTTCTGAAGGCCCATATGGCTCCAACAGCCCTTAGGACACTCATCTCAACTGGGGTGAAAGATGTGTGCTGTTCGTTCTATCACACGATGACTTTGTGAAAACACCAAGAAAAAGCCAGAGAGACCCAAGCTCCCTGTGACTGTGGACCACAGTGCTTTGGGGTCTGTGTCTTCTCACTGGGGGCTCCGGAGGGTCTGTGCAGCCAAGCTTGGTCATCCCTGTGGTGTCTGTCTTGGAGCCCACGGCCAGAGGACAGACAGACTGTACCTTCCTCCTAGGAACGACTGGCTTATACTCAATGTATAATAAACACAGTGCCACCAAGTTCTTTTGTTTGCAGCGGGTGAAGCCTGATTCGAGAGTCCCAGGAAAACCCTGACCAAACTACCAACTGGTACCAACGGTACCAACTGCACTCCCTGCAGGGCCGGCACGGGTCTCCAGCTCACCTACGCCCCCGCGCCCTCTCCCTCCTGCAGTAGTGCACACCATGAGCTCTTGCTTCCCATGGCTCCCCAGCACCCAGCTGCCCACCTCTGCCTGGAGATGGTGCAGATGGAACCCGGGAACTTACTTGAGCTCCAGGGTAGCATTGCGGAGCAAGTGTGTGAACAGCCTTTTCTGCATCATTTCCAGCAAAGATGCAATGCTGTGCTGCATACTCTGAAGAGTAGAATTGGGGAGCTGGAAATCTTCATCTAGAGTCTGATTCAGATTTGTGGCCTTTTCAAGGGTTTCTATGGAGAAAATTCACTGAATCTTTAGTAAGTCTCAGCAGAATGCATGGCGCTCGGGTCTCTCTCCTGTGGGGGGCTGGGCACCCCTAACAGGATACCCAGGAACTCAGGGCTGCTGGCGGGGGTGTGCTTGGGTGCTGAACCAAAGCCCCGAATCCTGTGAGCCCCAACTCTGGGGACAGGATGGGAGGGACCGTGTCTCTTCCCACCGAACGACATCCTACCCACGCCCCTCCCACTCTACCGCTGATGTCCATCTGGAGCCGCTCAACAAATGCAGCCAGGTCTCGACTCTGCTGGAGGCTCCCCTCTGCAGCCCTGCCCACCTGCTGACTTCGCGTGAGTACTCCAGTAAGCTGCGGAAAGAGGGCTCAGGCTAGTGGGACGCCAAATAACACTCAAGCTTCAGTACCGCAACTGGTACCAAGGCTGGGGTGTAGCACAGTGCCAGAACGCTTGGCCCTGGGTTCCATCCTCAGTGCAGTCAAAGATACACAACCGAATGCATAGTAACTGGTACCAAGGCTGGGGTGTAGCACAGTGCCAGAACGCTTGGCCCTGGGTTCCATCCTCAGTGCAGTCAAAGATACACAACCCAGAATGCATAGTATTGCTGTATGTGTCATGGAAACCAAGGTGAATATTTCTGGGTTGGAAGCCGACCAAGAGGTTAATGAACTAATTTACTCCTCATTCAGCACAAGAGAAGACACGGTACTTGTACAAGCAGCCTCACTGACTGTCCCACCACAGAGACTCCCCAGAGTGTTTGCACACGCCTGGATAGTGTGGACCACTACACACACCTAGGCTGCATGCACGCACACACACTGTGTATTCACCTGTGCATACACCCAGATCCACGCCTCCGAACAGGGCAAGGCCACAGTGAACAAAATCATTTGAGATTAAATCAGGTGTATGAGAAAATGGTGCATTCTGGATACTCAGTGCTGACGGCACAGAGGAGCACAGTACCATGGGGAGAAGCTCAGGGCTGTAAACACATGAGCCAGGCCCAGAGCTGTTGCTGTCCTCCTACACACTGGCAGCAGCGGGTTCCTTACACCGGCACTGCCACACACACGAGCGAAGCCGTGAGCTCCATCAGGACGGCCGGGCATCGTGCAGCTTCGGATAATCCCGCGGGGTCACTGGCACGTGTGTTGCGCACCGGTCACCGAAAGCGTGAGCACACGACTGCGTGCAGAACAATGTCACACCCCCGATCTGTGGCTCTAAGAGAGCACACACGCTGCGCACTGGCTCCACGGGCAGCCAGGCATCGGAACGCGGGTCCTCACGAAAGTGACAGTGAGCGGCTGTCCAAAAGCCCACGGCCCAGAGGCTGAGGTGACATTTTACTGGGGATTTTGTAACTGGTCTGTCTGTCCGAGAATATAAAATAACTCAGACTAGGTCTACAGGTGTTTTCTACTTGACACCAAAGAAAATCTTCTTTCATGGATACAGAGAGCTTAGTCAGCTTCTCACTTAGCCCAGTGTTTGCTTTACAAGGTATGAAAAGCCTCACTTAACCCCTTACTCTTCTCAAACCTTAAATAATGCTGAATTAACCATTACTTTGGGGTCCACAGCTGTATGTGTGCTAGGATTTGTAAGCTACAACTGTAAATTTGGCAGTAGGACTCCCCAAAGTCTCCTTTGGGGGATTGCTAGAGCTGGCCTGAGGCAAACAGAACAAACAACTCCCTGCTCTCAAGACTGCCATCCTCTGCATCCCAGATGCTACAAACAGAACCACCGGCCCAGTCTGAATGTGGCAGAGACCACACACTGGGGTGCTTGAGAGTTCCGTCTGCCTGTAATTTCGGGAGCATCACCATGCTCCACGGAGAACCTGCAGCTCCCAAGTGCTCAGCTGCAGAAGGGACTCAGGGGAAGGAGCAGCCACAGCCTGCAGTTTTCACCCCACCGGCCCACGGGGTTCAGACAGCAAAGTGACTGCCCAGCTCCGTCCTCAGCAGAGAGGCAAACAGAACCAGGTCACAAGCCTTTCCCCACTAGCTGCGAGACCGGCAGGGTTCAGAGCCACCGGATGACAAAGCACCCAGCACAGCCAGGGAACGGGGCACCAGCCCAACCCAATCGGAACCCACCCAGCCCAGGCGGCCGCCCAAGGCAGTGGGGAGCCGGCTCTTTACCTCACTTTGCAGGTCATTTGTTTGCTTTGCGACATCTTCAAGTTGGACTTCCACCGAATTCTTTTGGGTGTTTTCTTTTATTAAAGATTCCTAAGAAGAACAAAGGAAACATGACAATGCTTCAAAGTAAAATGTTGTCGTTCTTAACAAAGAATCGCCTGTTACTTCTTTTTTGTTCACAGAAGGAAAGCCTACTTTCCTCAAAACTGTCATTTAGAAATAAATCAGATCACCTTACCTAGTTTCATTCATAGCTACATGATTCCATGCTGCCAACTTTGACACTGTATTTACTAAACGGGCACACATTTAAAATCTGGTGTATTAAGCACAATTGGAGGTTGCTATAACTCTTAGATAAAAGTCTGGCTTTATTTCAAAGTCATGCATTTTAACTATGATTTGCTAAATTTTTTTAAAATGCATACTAAGCTAAAACTTAAGAAAGCATTCAATAAAGAAAAGCCTTCATCATAATTAATAATTAAAGTGCTTAACAGCTATCACCACTTTATATCTAGGGGTGTGAGTTACCCCTTCCAACAGCGTGGTGGGGAAGTTAGATTACTGCTCGGGGTAGAGTCACTTGTCAAGGTCATGGGGTCAGCCAATAATGAGGAGTAATGGAGTTCTCTTCCCAACTAAGGACTGGCCAATTGGTTTACAGCGTCATTCAAGACTAGTTAAGGTTTAAATCAAGTATTATCTCACTTGATAAATTTAAAAGTTATGATCCTGGGGCCCAAATGAGCAGCAAATAGAATTTATTGCGTATATAATGGTTGGGAAAGAAATTTAAATCTTTCTTTAGAATTTTTTTGGGGGGTCCAGGAAATCAAACTCAGGGCCTCATGCTTGCTCTTTTATAATTTTTAATGGAGGTACAAGTTATTCCCTTTCAAAAACATGCTTTGCAGGTGAGGGCTTTAGCTCAGTGGTTCTGCCGCCTGCCTTGCAATCACAAGGACCTCAGTTCGACCCCCAAAAATACTAAAAACAAAACACATGCCCTTCTATTTAAGGAAAAATAGCCTAAAAAAGTTAAGAGTTGTCTATTCTAGCTGGGCATGGTGGCACCCCTCTGTAATCCCATCACTTGGGAGGCTGAGGCAGGATTGCCAAGAGTTCAAGGCCAGCCTGGGCTACACAGTGAGCCCTGGTGCACCCCCCTTTCTTTACTCCTAGTATAGAGAAAGGACCAGGGTGAAGGAGAATGAGTCACCAAACCAGCCCCATCTCAGATACCTCTGCAACAGAAAGTCTGAAACAGGCTCTTATACCAGTGGTCCTTGAGGGCTGAACATCCTGTTTACTACCGCACGGCACAGGGAACAGGTCATCACAACCTATGGGTTCTGTTTAGAACCCCGGGACTCCAGTTAGGAACAGCGCATGAGCAGGAAATGGCTCCGGCTCGGGGATAACCCAGCCCTGGAGGAGAAGCTGCTCAGACCTGGCGTGCCAATGCCAAGAGGCTACTCTTCCCACACCCAAGGTTCGTCCAGAGAGGGCTGAGGGTACACGGAGGTCTCCGCCCACCAGCGCTGCCCCACGGTCACAGGCTGAGAGAGAGGGTGGGGCCCCCTCGCTGGTCCCCTCCAGGCAGGGCTGGAGCCGCCTCGGGGGTGAAGGGAAGGTGGCCCCACGGAAGCACCCTGCCCCAGGACTTTGCCTCCAACCGCACAGGGTTCTCCCTCTCTGTGTCTCTGTCCCCTGTACCTACCCGGAGATATTTAGTCGCATTTTCCAGGTTTGACAGAACTCCGTAAGGGGCGGGGAAAATCCCGGTGAGGTTCACGGAAAGCATGGCGTCGCCGACCCGGTCCAGGCCGTCCAGGAGCACCCCCACACACTCGTCATCACAAGCTGGGAGAGAAGGGGAAGTGGATGTCCGTGGGCAGCAGGAGCCACTGCACTGACAGCCGAGCTGGAGCACAGGCCTCATCCCCGGTTCCACATCTGTCTCAGTCTTAGTCCAGCTGCAAGTGCGGGGCCGAGAGCCATTCTCAGGGGACCCTGAGGCTCAGATCACAGCAGGGACACCCTGAGGTCACACAGAAAGGAGCCACGGAGACCGAGAGTGGCCCCAGCCGGGCCCATCCCACTGTGCTGGCCTTGGCAGTGCCCTGCTCGCAACACAAAGGTTCCAGCAGGTGCCATCTGCAGACGCGCCCACAGCAAGGGCGAGGAAAGACCAGGGAGAAGCCACAGGATGGCTTTGCTCATGACAAACACAGAAGAGCGAAAAAGCTCTCAGTGCCATGGGCCTCACATCCCCTCCATCCTCCCCAGGAGCCACTGGTGACTTCCAGGGCAATCACATTGTGCTGGTGAATGAACCAGAACCAGAAAAGCCCACAAGGAAGCGCTGAAGCTGTGGTAAAACCAGAAACACCAGCGACAAGGGGAGGCCTTCCCTCTCGGGGGCTGAGCCTCGGCTCCTCAAAAGAACCAGGGGTGCATCCAGGCCCGAAATTCCTGTGCTGCTCTTGGTGCCAGAGTCCCAGGACCTCCCACCTTGGCTGCAAATGCAAGAGTTACTGAAGGAGATGCAACCACCATCTGCGCCCCCTGAGGTAACAGTAAATTATAAAACACAACAGGACGCGAGCAGCCTGCTGGCGATGGGCCCCACAGCCCCACAGTCCTCATCAAGAGAAGCACCCACAGGGAACCCCACTTTCTCCCTGCGGGGAGAAACACCCACAGACACAGCTGCTGTCCACCAGCAGGTGCCGCAGCTGGCAGCCGTCGCATCGGAGCCCCGTGGCCCCCGGCCTGCAGGTGCACTGCCCGGACAGGAGGTCACAGTCGCTGTGCACAGAGCCCTGAGGGCTACAGTCACACTTCCGGCAGCTGCCGCCCAACTGTCCAGGGTTCCCGTAGTAGCCCAGGGAGCACCTGCAGAAAGACATCAGGTGCAGACGTTAGGTACAGCGGTGTGGTCAGCACAGTCCCTGCCCAGCACTATCGGTATCCGGGAGCACACAAGGACCGCTGGAGACGCTGCCTGGGAGCAGTCGCGAGGCCCCATCAATGACCCAAATCGACAGTGACTCGCAAAGCAGCACTGAAAATACGTCCAGGACGCTACCCGGGGAGCTGGAGTCCCTAACCCAATAGCGCACCTTTCACAATACCGGCCCTCGTGGCCCAGAACGCAGGCATTGCACCGGAAGCCACCGTCACCTTCCAAGACACAAGTGGGACTGAAACTGGAAGAAAAGAGGTTTTCTCTTGAATTTTGAGATACAAAACTTCAAAACTTCCTCGATATACTTGTCCATTACTGTCTGGATACACCGTGGGGTTCTAGAGTTAAACCATGACACTGGGTGACTGGACAAGCTTGTTAGGGCTCAAATCTGTTGGGTGACACCAATGACAATCAGCATGCAATCAATATCAGTGTGAGTGTGTGTTGAGTCCAAAAGACACTCGAGAGGCTCTTCCCAGTGACAGTCACGGGCGTGCTAAGGAAGAGACTGATCTTAGAGGGGATAGCTAATTAGTCGCCCAAGAAAGCTTCCTGGGTAGGCAAAGAGGCCTTGCTCAGAGATGTAAGGCAGCGACTGGAGGAAAGAAAAAAGCTGGGAATGAACAGACCTAGGTGCGAGGGAGTCACGCGCCAAGTTAGAGGAAGCGGGTGACAGAGTCCTCCCAGGATAATAACCTCCTTCCGCTCTCACCTCCCTTCCAGCTGCTGCTGCAGTGACTCCTTTCTGCACCTCTGCCTCCACACACTAAAACTCCCAGGCACCAGGGGTTACCAGTGCCTGCGAACACCCAAAACCGAAGCAGTGAAAACGGAAGGCTTTTCCTAAAGTCAGCCTGGTTCAAGGTGGGACTGCGCTGATAGACAGAGGCCAAGGGAGTGACCCTGTGAGGCAGGGCGGGCGGCACCTGCGGGCTCACCTGGCCGGGTGGCGGTGGGGACAGGTGCACAGGGAGCAGTCATGGGCTGTGCCGGTCACCTTCCCATAGTAGCCGGGAGCGCACAGCTCACAGTGGTGCCCAGCTGTGTTGTCCCTGCAGTCCTGGAGTTTGGAGGAAACAACAGGAAGCAGTTAGAAGTCACGCTGATCGGTGCCACCTAAGCACTGCCACATTTCCTGCCAACTCACTGCTGCTTTTTCAATTCTCAAGGAAGTATTTATTTTTCTCTTTATTTTCAATTCCTGGAAACCGTTCCAGCCCTGTGGCCTCTGTGCATCCCAAGACTGCACTCATACACTGCAGCCTAGAAATCACTTGTACATTCTGACCAAGGAATGCAGACCCAGGACCCAGGGCAGGAGCTGTCAGAACCTCACACGCGGATCTAAAATACCTGGAACCCAGGGGATGACTCCCAGTGCTGCCTGGATTTCAGGGATCCTGCGCAGGGAGCTGAAGCAGTACCAATACACGGACAGGCAGCTTAGGAAACAGACAGGAGGGGAGAAACACGGCTCAGAGCACCACACAGTTCACCGATAACCACAGAGCGTCTGATTCCGGGAAACCTGACGTCTGCAGCTGGACCTCTGGTCTTGCTGTGAGAAGACTGCCTGGTTCCTAAACCGGAAGAGCATGGACTGTCATCCGGTTTTGATTCTGAATCTTCTTGTGCTCAATTTACTGCTGTGCATCTGATACAGTGGGAGGGACCGAAACTTAGCCCCTGAGCCGGCTCAGACTTCCCTCGTTCCCTCCTGGGCAGGGAGGATGGAGAGGGAAACCTTTTGGAATGTTGAAAAAGCAGTGCTTAAAGTCCCTTTAAAGTAAAAAAACAGCCCAGTGTTTTTCATCTTTAACTCGTACTCCTATTTCAGCTGATGAAAGTGATTTCATTGAGATCCAGTTGACTCCTGAAAGGGATGTTGCTTTAGAGGTGACATGAGCAATCTCTTGTTTAAAAAGCTGTACAATGCTTGGTTTATTTACCAACATAGCCCAGAGCTGACACAGAACACGTGCGAGGGGAGGATGGACGCAGAGCTCCAGTTTTCCATTGCTGACGTCCACTGTGTGGAAAACTCCCCCAGCATATGATGGATGCTGGGCTTCCTGGTTTCCCAGATCGTAGAGAACTGAAGACCAGCTGCCCCGGTCAGTGGTGGAGAAACAAGGCCTGATATTAATGAGGACAGAGCTGTGGGATGCACTGGCTGCTGGAAAGATGCACCCAGTGTGCCTGCCAATTTCTCGGCCACGTAAAAGGGCTCAGCTTCATCTCTCTTCGTGGAATGGCAGAAGGACTCTGCGAGAGCTTCCAGGTCCTTAGTGTTTCCCCTCTGGATTGTATCTAAGCCAGTGGTTTTTAAAAATAACACGAAAGGCCCAGGGACACGAAGCAGGGGGACTATTTTATATACCCAATGACAGAACCAGTCCCGTAGACGTCTTGGTGCCCAGCCCCATGACAACCAGGGGAGAGGGCAGCTTAGGAGACTGTATTATAGGGAAGTGAACTGTTGCAGTAAACCACAAAAGGAACTTCTCAAGGAAAAGCCGGGGGAGGAAAGGTCAGGTGCTAACCCAGAGAGTGAGGAAGAAGTAGCTGAGGGGCTGACTGGAGGGAAGAATGTGAGGCTCCACGGTCAGGCAACACTTGGCTGTGTTGTGGAGACAGAGCCCCCGGGTTCCGGAGGGCGCCCCCTACGGGCCCTTCACACCTCAACGGTGCTGGGCTCTAAAGGCGAATGATGACATGGAAACCTCGGGTGGGGGCAGAACCACAACCACTCTGGGTGACCACCAGGTACAGAAACGGCGTCACACTGCAGGATGAAGAGCTAGCCTCTCTGGACACCCGGGACAGGGACTGGACCAAGCAGTTTTGGCGAGTTAAGATCCTGCTGGTCTTCATGAGTAAATCCCAACTAGTGCTTTATCTCAACGGCTCCAAAGAATAAAACTGTATCCACAGGTGACGGCCCAAGGGTCCTACTTCCAGGAAAGCTGAGCCGCACTGGGCATGAGCTTCCCACCCCGGGAGATAAGTACAGGCACACGAGGTCATCGCTTGGGGTGGATGCTGCAGTTAAAACTTAAGACGTGAAAGGGCTCTGACAAGAACTGGAAGGCACTGCAACCGAGCACGCTCTAAGCCTAGATGTTGTCTGTGTGGACTGAGCTGCTCACAGGGACGGGCAATAAATGGTCACCGTGCATGATGATGTCACTAGGGACAAGCACAGAATACAAGTCGGCGAGGAGGAGGAGAAGCTGGGCTCAGGATGTGTCCTGCTCAGAAGTGTAAACACAGCATCTGCGTCCAGTCCTGTGACGGTGAGCACGGCCTTTGTCCATCAACTAATGGGCCCGGGCTGGGTCTCAGCGGCAAACTGCTCTCTGCCTCTGTTCATCCCGGGAGACGTCTTGCCACGGTCTAAGGAGAGGGTCAGAGCCCTGGGCCAAGCAGGCTGTGTCACTTCTACCTATGAATCAGCAGATCAGTCAGGGATCTGGTCACTTCCTTCCGGTAACATGGGCCAGGAAAGCTAAGGCAGTGGTTCAGTGTTGATGGAATAACTCATCTTGTTAAAACAGCTCTACTGAGGAAAAGGCGAACCATAAAAGAGCTGACGAACGTCTTCATCGGAGCGACCTCGGCCCTGTGACAGCCACGGCTCCTTCCCGGCCGGTCTCATCCACTCCCGAGTCCACTGCTGAGCTCCCTTCTGCATTCATTTATTTCCCTTCCATGACTCCCACCCGAGCCCAGTGAGCTCTGCAGGACTGACGCGGTGACCTTATCGCCATGAGTTACAGGATGAAGGGGACCGCAGACGTCGGGAACGTGTCTCTGGTTATCTCATGTCGTCCCTAGTCCTGGTGAACTTCAGCAAAGTCATGGACACTAGAATCTGCCCTCCGTCAGGGCCACGAAACTGTTGTCTGGGTCACTTGGTCCTGCCCATAGCTTTCCTCACGTCTCCAAGACCAGAGTTGGTCTAGGCAAGGGGACCAAGGAACAAACGCATCCCGCGACACTAGTGACTTACTATGTCATTTTCCGAAAGACAACAGGCCCTGTTCCAAAAAACATAAGGAAAGAGCACTGTTTTCCACAAAGAAATAAACTGCAACATAAGCTGTGCGTGAACTTACTTTAAAATCTCTGTGGCAGTCTTCAAACTCTGACCTAAAGTTCTCGTCTTTGATTCCAGTCCCCAGTACAGCAGGTAAAAACTACACACAGTTCGCTGAGTCCTAATCAGTGCCACTAACAAATTCAGCATGGAATGAACCTGGTAAACGAATTTCCACTGACAGCATCAGACCATTAGCTAAGCCCTTCTGAAGAACGTACAGGAAGTGATCAAAATATACAGTGAATGTTAGGGTTTAAAACTTTATTGTAGTAAAGACACACTGCCATTAATTCAACAGTTTCTCTAGACTCGAACAGACATCCCCTCATTCTTGCTACTTCCTGAGGCAGTTCTACACAAAGCCTTTTCGTGACTTCATGAGGTGTGATCAAAAATACAGTGCATGCTACAGCTAAGCACCATCCAACAGAAAGACAGCTCATAGAAACGTGACGCTGTGTCCTCATCCCCTTATTCCCTGGATCTGGCACCAGGTGACTTCCGGCTCTCTCTCAAAGTCAAAATGACAATGGAAGGAGAACATGAACCAACTCAGGACGTCTGGGCAGCCGGGACAGCACAACCATAGACCCTTACAGAAGGGACCTCCAGGACTGCTTCAGAAAGCCTCAAGAACAATGGGTACGTGTGCTTGAAGCATGGGAGAGGATTTTGAGGGGGATTCATGGTAATGGTACTCTTCCTAAAATAAATGTTTAGAACTTTGAACAGTCCCCGTGGCTTTGGATCATATTTTCCATGGTACATTTCGTACATTTCACCTCTCCTGTGCCAAGGACCTAGTGACTGCAGACCAGAAAGGGAAGCACTGTGTCTACACCGGCTCCAGCTCTGGCTGCAGCCCAACATGCACGTACCAGGCACTTCCCAGTTTCCGGGTCACAGGTGTCACTGTGGTTGCTGCAACTGCAGGGCATGCAAGGAGCGAGCAGTGGCCAGGATTCTCTGCCACCTTCTGGAAGCTTCTGTCTACGGAACCCAGGGGCACAGTCCTGAGGGGAACAAAGGGGATAAGCAGTGAACCCTCCATGAAAACCTGGGCAGAGGACCTGAGTCCACTCCTCAGGGAGGACAGCAAGCGGGCCACAGGTACCTGCGAAGTTCACACCCCACTCTCAAGGGCAAAACAGGTCAAACACACTGAGACGCAGCCCACACCCCATCAAGACGACAGGGAATTGTGGTGGGCACTGGTGGAGGAGAGGCAAGCAGAGCCCTCTGAATTGCTGGCGGGACCTGAGGCAGCATAGCAGCTGCAGAAAACAAGTTATCAAAAACCCAGCAAGTCTGCGTCAGTGTGCATCGGGAAGAAAAGAATGCAGGTGTGTGGGGAGGCACTGCACACCCTTGTGCACAGTAGTATTAAGCACAGCCTCCAGAAGACGGAAGAAACCCAGATGCCCACAGAAGGTGCGGACAGACATGCGTGGGTCCACATGACAGAGTATCACTCAGCCTTCCAGAGGAAGGCCCTCGGTCCATGCTGCCACTAGGATGGGCCTCGAGAACGTTACACTGAGGAAAACAAGCCAGCCACAGAAACACAGGCGCTGAAGGAATCTCCTCCTGGGGGAGCAAGACCCAGAGAGATGGCTTCAGAGGCCGGGAAGAGGCTGAGAGGATGCAGCTTCAGGTTTGCGAGGAGGAAAGGGTCTGGAGATTGGCTGCAGAGGGCGTGAGGCTGCCAGGAACTACCAGATCCATATTTACAAAGGCAGCCCAAAACTTAACAATACTTTAATTGAGAATGAAAGGAAAAATGATAGAGACCTACAAGCTGTTATTCGCACTGAGCTGCTGCTAACAGGCACGTTTAAATCTACTCGAAACCAAGAAAGAAGTTTCCCCGAAGCCCCTACCTGACAGGAGAAGCCGGCCGTGCCGGGAGGACAGACGCAGTGCTCTATCAGCGACGCCACCGTCCCCGTGAGCTGCCGGCCCCCAGCCTCCGTGCCAACCTCCATGGAGATGTTAGAGATCCTGGGCCCCCATACAGCAGAAGTGGGAGAGGAAACATGAACACAAAACACATTACAGAAACCTGACAGGTGACAAGCATTTGCACTTGTGTTAAAACAGAGATCTCTGCCCGGCAGGGACTAGCTGCTACTCAAGATTATAAAGAAAGCCAGACATGGTGATGCACAACTGTAATCCCAGTACTACAGGAGGCTGAGGCAGGAGGACTGCATGTTCTAACCTAGTCTGGCAATTTGGCAACTTAAGGGGGCTGAGCTGCCGCTCAGTATGAAGGCCCTGGGTTTGAGCTGCAGTACCCCCAAAGAAGATTATAAACAAAATGAGTTAAATAAGGTGCATTACTGATGTCACTTGCCCAACATTTAAGAATTTAGAAATATAGAAAGAGTGTACCCAAAAGACCTCTTTGGGTCTTTCCCTGTGTTAATGGGGTAGGCGACAATATTCTTTATACGTCTTTACAAACAAATGGGCACTGCAGCTTTCAAGTGAAGACAACAGCATTTTAAAATATTTCATATCCATCTAGGATGCCACCCTGGTGCACTTATGTTTCATAGCTACATCAGCACCGTCACTGGCTGATTTCCACCTCACATGCTCTGTTCCATAATGATATTAATAAATTAACCAGGTTTGGATAAGCACTGAGGTGCATGTATTCCTGACATGTTCATCATCCTTGTGAAGTGAGTCAAATCCTCTCAGTTCTGGGCAGTTCTAGAAGCTTCTGTACCTGCTTTGCTGTAGGCCCTGACCATAGGATGCCTTGACAAGGATGTACTCGATGTTGCTAAGGACGGACATGAAATCCTCGCGTGTGACAGGTTCCTCAGAGACGGAATTAAAGTATTTCCAAAAATCCTGAGGATAAGCAACATATTCAGTCAAATTCAAAGCACAAATTCTCACAGGCACAAGACCTGACAGAGAACACACGTTTTGTTCATAGCTTTCACTAGAAATGCCTGGTTCTGGATGTGCTGTTGAAGGTAACTGGCGAAGACTTCCTGTAAGGGCCCCAGCACAGACGGGCGTCAACCTCAGCACAGGGGCTGCCATTGGCCAAAACAGGTGGCCACATGGACCCTGGGCACAGAGGAGATGGTTCCCTGATTCCTGAGGCTCCTGCACCGTCCTCTCTACGCAGGGCAAAGCCTGGCACCAAGGGAAAGGCTTTAAGATGCAGCTCCCAGGAAACCAGCAGAAGCCTAAGCTGGAAGTCGCTCGGTATCCAGGGATCCGTTGCAGGACCAGTCCCTACGCACGCATGCCTATGACTATGTTTAAATTCTAAACCGGCCACAATAAGAGGCAAACAACAATAGCACAGTGGAATAATTACAACAGTGTACTGTGATACAACATGGCCGGCATTTTTACCCCTGTGCTTTGGGCCATTGTGAAGTAAATCAAGAGTAACCTGGGGCCGGGGATTTAGCTCAGTGGTACCGCTGCCTGCCTTGCAAGCATAAGGTCCTGAGTTCTTTCCCTGGCACCAAAAAAAAAAAAAAATCTAAACACAACGACAGTGGCACTGTGACAGTGCTGATAGCCAGATGGCAGGAGGCTCAGTGTGTGCACAGGACAGGCTCCTGTAGTTTTCCACTAATCAGTTGACTGTGGGTAACTGCAACCTACAAAGCAAAACTGTGTGTGAAGGAAGCCTATGAAATTCAGAAAGCTTTTGGAAATCCTGCCAGACCCACTGGAGGGGTCCCAGTCTCCCAGCTCAGTCTCTTTCATGGCTTGGAGTTTTCAGTACACATAGCGAAGTTCACACCATGAGGCCTGCACACCACAGTACTCGGCTCACCTCCTTCATCCCCACTTCCTGATCGTGCCGCACTCCGTTCTCCAGCACAGTGGCGTCCACATAGATCACTTGCTTCCTGCTCCGGCCTCCTCTGATGAGGACTTGAGGCTCCAGGTTGAAGGTTCCGGTGCCATGGGAGGCGTAGAAGGCCACACTGTACCTCAGCCTGCCTCCGTAGGCCAGGAGCTAGCAGGAAACACACACTCATTTACTGCCTGGCATCCTGTGGCTTTAAAACATTCCATCACCACCATATCCAAGAAATCCCATCTCTTAAAAATCTATATCCATAGGTGAGACCCGTGCTTGGAGTCCGCTTCCTTCTGACCACTCAATTATGAAATCGATCCAACCTGTAGTTCCCAATGACGCCAGCAATGAGGAGTGCCTCACTAAATCACCGTGGTAATGATTCTAATTATCTTCAAGCTCTTTCAAATTAAAAATTCTATTTATAGGAGCACTGGGGATATGTTTGCAAATTTTAAAAACCACGTGGAACTCACAAACACTGGGTTGCAATATATAAACAAAAACGTAAATGGCGCCTTCCATGGCTCTTTGTAGTGGGGGTTGCCCCTCCGTCCCCACCCCGGCCCAAATGGACAACAGATTCTTGGGAAGGGCTTCCCAGAACCCAGCATCCAGTCTTCTATTGAGTATATTTTAAAATGCAATGTAGTTTGTTGAATGAGTGCTTCAGAAAGGAAGAAAATCAGATGACTTCAAAGACTTAAAGCAATGATGAAAGGTTTTAAAGATTCAGCATCTGAGGAGAATTTTATAAGTGTTGAACATCTCCTCCTCTTAGAAGTTGGAGTTGGTGGCTGTGTCCATTCCTGACCTCCCCGGGGAGGTGGCCCGAGTGCCCTCACCTGGTCTCCCTGGAACTGCTCAGGGAGCCGCCAGTAAAGGGGCTCTGTGGGGACCTGGTGTCGGAGGGCAGCGGCGTCCAGCAGGATGTCGGGGTCCTGGTGATACACGCCCTCAGTCGTGCCCGTCAGGTTGCTCTGGGAGACCACACGCAGGAGGGGCTGAGGGGCACCCAGCGTCACCTGCCACGGGGGGGCACAAGTGAGACCAGGAGCGAGCGAGGCAGCGGGTCTTGGTCGGACTTGGGCCTGCAGCAGGAGCTGCTCCGGGACTGACACAGGAATGTGAGGGCTTTTCCTTGGAACTAGCGGACTAAAACGAATGGCAAGGGTTTTTGCATGACCGCATTTAGAGTCAAGCTTCTGCTACACTGGGGCAAAACTCAGCAAGGAGGCGGGTGAGGGGTAGTGGTTTTAGCTCCTCTCCACCCAGCTCGCAGAGAGCTCGGCAAAGGGGCCAGGCTGGAAGCTGCCTTGGTTTCCCCAGAGAGCAGAGGCCAAGCTGTGCTTCCTGTATGGATCCATTCTGCAGCTGAAAGGTAGAGGAAGTGGACAAGGTCGAGCAGAAAATACGGTGAATGTGACTTAAAAGATTATTACAATAAAGGACACGTCACGAATGCCCCCAAACTACACCCATCTCGGAACACACTCATCCCATCCCTCCTGCCACTGTCTGCAGCAGCTCTGGGATCCTCTTTCCTTCAGCTATGCTGTCCTGGCTGCCTGGACGCCCTGAACGTCTCTGTCAGTCACTGACTTGGGGAGGAGCCGGAAGTCGCATGGTGGTGGATCCGTGAATAAGGAGGATACAGACATTCTGCTTTTATTTCACAGAAATTGCTGAAAACATTTGCCCAGCGGTGCTTCATGTTTAAATAAAAAATGTGTCACAGTAAAAGACGAAGCGCCACCGGCCCCTCAGAAGACCCCACCACTGGCACACTCATCCCTTGTCCCCAGCACGGTGCCTTTTACTGCGATACGGTTTTTAAAGTTTCAACATTAACTGCATTTTCCTGTCACCCCTGTAAGTGTGTGACCACCTCGCCCTCCCCACCCGGCTCCCGGGGCGTCAGGACTAAAACTCAGACCCTCGTGGGAGACTCACCGCGGTCCTCACGTAACCCTGCAGCTCCCCACACAGGTGCGACAGCCCAAAGCAGAAGCAGGGTGTGCAGCCCCGGGGGTCCTGGGCACGCAGGGCGAAGGTGCCAGGGCGACACTGGCTGCACCGCAGCCCGCTGACGTTTTCCTACGGGACGAAGAGGGCTCGTGGGCGCCGGGAGAGAGACGTGGGCTCTGCGCACAGAGATGAGTGGACACTGACGTCCTGAGACACCCAGAGCCAAGGCCCGACCAGCTCGGAAGGACTCAGCCAGTTACTCCGAGTGCGGCCGAGGATCCAGATCGTTCTGGACACTTCAGGAACAGAGACGCCCTGACAAGGATCCTCTGGGATGCCCAGGGGTCAGCCTGGAGCCCCGGGTGAGGTGTGTGTGGGGGGCTGGTGATGGGGACAGAACCTAAGACCTCACACATGCTGAGCAAGCACTCTACCGCCGAGCTATATCCCCAGCTATTTTGTTTTATTTTTGAAATTTTATTCTATTTTATGACAGTATCTGCTAAGTTGCCCCATTGAACTTAAATTTGCAATCCTCCTGCCTCAGCCTCCTGCCTCAGCTGCAATGACAGGTGTGTGTGGGGGGGACCTGTGACAGTTCCCGATCAGTGTGTCCCAGTGGACCTGCCCGCCGGGGATCCTGCTGGTCATTCAGCGAGGAGAGGTGACTACTGAGGCGAGTCCCCGCTGCTATCACTATGTGATCACAACCGCTATCCCGAGATGCAGGAGACCAGCGTGGGACGATGTGCCCCGCCTCCCGGGCCGCAGCATCTACAGTGCTTCCCTTCCGTCCTTCCAGCCAAGCATCAGCCCACTGTCCTCCGGCCTCCCCCTCAGCACCCACAGAAGGTGGCCATGCTCTCCAGGAAAAGCCACGATTTACGTGAGATAAGGGTGACACTGGACTCTCACTGCTGAGAAACCACATGCGACGATTTCCTTCAGACAACGACAGCATTGTTAGCCTCCCTGCAGCCCGAGACTCCTCAGAGTCCGGTGCCCTGTGCTCAAGGCAGACGGCTACGTGGCCCAGCGGAGCACCCATCGTCTCCGAAGCAGTGCGTCACCCGATGTTCGTGGTAATTCTTCCCTCTGAAGAGCACACACAGACTTCAACCCAGACTCAGGAGCGCGAGAGGGTTAGATCTGCGCTCAGCCCGGCCGTGCCTCTCACAGGAGAAGCCCAGACAAGCCAGCCAGAGTAGGTACCTTGCAGGAGCAGGCGCCGGAGTCCTCCGTGCAGCTGCAGACGCCCCGGTCCAGCGCACACGAGGCAGCCAGCGTTCCCCTCAGGTCACAGTCGCAGGGGACACAGTCAGGAAAGTCCCGATAGCCCAGCGAGCACTGGCCACAGCTCTGCCCACCAAACTCGGCCTTGCAGGGGCACTGACCAGACAGCAGGTCACACTGTGGGCCTGTGGAGCCCGGGCGGCTGCAGTTGCAGGCCTGAGCGAGGGAGGGAGAGAGAGGGAGAGAGAGTTTGCCTATGCTGTGGTGGGAGCAGCGTCGCCGGCGGAGGGGTTGGCACGGGTGAGCCCAGCCCACCAGGGCACCCACCCCACCGACTCTGCTTGCCAACTGCACACTGGGCCAAAGCCGGGAACCAACCAAACCCAACAGGTCCAAGCTGCCTAGCAAAATTACTCCAGAGGTCCTGTAGGCTTTCCACTGCCTCAGAACACAACTACGCCCAACCCAGCTGAAGAAAGTCACAGAAACCACCTCCCGGACTGGACACCACCCCTGCTAGGTGGCTTCCATCTCCTCTTGGGAAACCACTCACACTGCAGTGCATTTAAAGGGCACTGTTGGGGTCACATCTGGATGCCCCCTGAAACCTCCTGTGCTCATGGGCAGGGCTGTGGGGAGGTGATGGGCTCGGGGCTCCCAGGGGACTGCCCCAGGAGGCAGGCCAGCCGTGGCAGGTGGTCCCTGGGGGTGGCCGGGCAGGCTGCATCTGCCTCCTGGCTCCTCCCTTCTCTCTCTGCTCCTGCCCACCATGCCCAGAGCAGCTCTCCTCAGTACACCTTCCCACCTGGAGCCAGTTGACCAAGGACTGAAACCTGTACCAAAGCAGGAGCCAAAATATAAAATAAACCTCTCCCTTTTTAAGTTGCTCCCATTGGGCTTTCTGTCCCAGCTGGGAGAGAGTAACTAAG